AAAAGAAGTTAACATGTTGGGGATGTACTTTGGAGATGGAACTGATTAACTATATGTGACATATGAGGAAAAAAATGGAATGATTCCCAAGTTTTTATCTTAAGAAACTGAGAAAAGATGATGCCATTTCCCAAGGAAGAGAATGGAACAAGAACAGTTTAGGGCGAGGGAAGAGCAGAGAATAAAGAGTCCTGTTTGGGCCCACTACATTTAAGATGCCTATTAGACATCCAAGTCAGGGAGGCACTTTGACATCAAGTAGGTAGTTTGATTTATGAGCCTGCAACTCAAGGAAAGGTCAAGACAGGAGACTTATATTTGCGAGTCAACCTCATATAGACAGTATTAACATTATGGGACTAAATGAAATCCACCAGGGAAGTAGTGTAGCTAAAGAAGAGGACCCAGGAAAGAGACTGAGAGGTCAAGCAAAGAAGATGGAGCCAGTTAAGAGGCTGAAAGGGAACGTCCAGTGAAATTCGAGGTGGAGAATCAAACATAAGCAGCTGGTGTCATAGAAGCCAAGCAAAAAAAACTACCTAGGTTATCTTTTCTCTGAAATTAGCACAGATAGTTCAGGTTTTCTGAGTTACTTAGAGCCTTGAGTCAATAATTTCTATCTCATTCTTCCTCATAGAAAGAAAAACGTCAGGGTCAGGGACACAAACTGCCTCCCAAATGCATGCCCTTAGTCTCCTAAGGAGCTGATGAGCATATTAATAGTTCTGCTTCCTCCTCTCTACTACCAGAATAGCTCATGTCTTATTGGCACTGACTCAAGAGGGTCTTCTCCACAGTCAAAAAAAACAGTACCTTTCAGGACAGATCACTCAAATCAGCTATGCCTTTGGGAAAATGACTTTCTCTTTATATATATATATATATATATATATATATACACATATATATTATGTATATGAGAACATCAAGCTACAGCCTTGATATTCTTGATATACAGGCCACAGATGATGAACGTGGAATCGTTTGCTTACTATTAATGGGGTTTCTCTTGTTAATGGCCATCACCTTGTCTATAGAAATAGTTTGGCCTGCTGAAAATACAGCTAACTCAACACTCCATGACCACTGACTTGTCTATTTGTAAAACCATCAAGGATAAGAACATTTAATGATCAAATGAGATATGAAAGAAAACTCCTTAATGACCCAAATAACCTCATTTCCAACGTTAACTGTGGCCCACAATAAAACAGTATTTTAGTAATATAAAGTTTCCAGATTAGCCAAGATAAATTATACCAAATGTTGTACCAATTTTAATAGACCTCCATTACAACACTTCAAGTTATGACTTGACATGTCAGAGTTGGATACCTTCAGGGATTGTTTGCTTGTTTTTATTGATATTGTCATAGTTGAAGTGATACAAATAGTTATTAGGTACTTGAATAAAAAGGAGGAATTTAAATAAAATTCTTTAACCACCCACACAAATCTCAAGAAGTCTATCAAAGTACATAAATTGTACATAGAAGTACATAAATTACTTGATCCAGAATATTTCCATCCTCAAGTGGAGAAAAAGTTAATTTCCCCATCCACTAAAATATAGGTACTTAATCTTCACAAACTTTACACACAGGAGAGCCTCAGATCTTCTGAAGACTACCTGACCCCCAATGCCCCCAGAGTTTCCAAGTTAAGCATTCTGGACTTAGAATATTTTCTCGTATAGGGTGTACTATATACCCCTTCTCCTTATTTGGCATCAGGAACCAGAACTTTCAGTTTCCCAAAGTGTAGTCTCAAGAGACGCTGGAGTTTTTTTAATTTTCTAGGAAAATGGGCAAGCCCCATTGAGAACTGGAGTTCATGTCCCACAGTGAATTGTGGAGAGTCTGGGAACTGTCCTGAGTCCTGAAAATTCTGGGCCGGTGTCACTGGAGCTGTCCAAGGTTCTTACACCAGTGCTTCTCAAAGTATGGTCTACAGACTATCTGTATCAAAATCAACTGGGTATGGGTCTTAAAATACAGATTCCTGGCCCATACCAGAACTACTGAGTCAGAATCTTTATAGGTAAGCCTTACAATTCTGCACTTTGAGAAGTTTCTCAAAAGATTCTTATGTCTGAGGTTAAGACTGTCTTCCAAATGTTAGTATCACTTTGTTAGGACTGGAGATTATTTATTCCCATTGAATTCACTGATCACTGTAAATGCATCTGATATCTTTAATATCACCTCTATTGACAATCATGATGAGTTATTATATTCCTGAAAAAGACATTAACCCAATTTCTTGTAGATACCTTCTGTCATAATTTGGCACCAAACAAATACAAAAATTCAACCTCATCAAGGAACCTCAGGCAAGGCAAACCCTTTGTGAAATCAGTTTCCTTGATCTTTTAGCAAGTTTTTCCTTTCCATCCAATCTAGTAATGAAATAATTATAATTACAATCAATATTTACTGATCACTCATTCTGTGCCGTCCGTCAATCCATAACAATGAGTAGTCAAAACAACAAAAAATATTTATTGAGTATTTACTACATGCCTGACACTGTTCAAAGTTTCTCACACAATTGTCTCATTTAATCCTTACAATTTAATGTACCCATGGTCCCAAAATAAGCAGGAAAAATTGTACCCTGTGTTACTTAAGGTGTTGATACTCCCTTATAGGCCTTGTCATACAAATATATGATACTAAAGCTAATGCTTTAATAGCTTTTTTTTGAATGTATGAAAATGGGGGAGAATAGAAATATCCTTTATTGATTGCTTGTTGTGTTCCTGGCACTTTAATGTTTACTTCATTAAAACATCACAACTATTTATGAATAGGGTTTATTTTCCCCATTTTAACAGCTTTATTGAAGCACTGACATACAATAAACTGCTCATATTTAAAGTGTGCAATAGGTTTTGATGTATGTATAATCCCGTGAAAACATCACCTCCAAAAGTTTTCTCTTTGTAATCTTCCCTCTTGGCCCTCTCCAGTTGCTTGTTCCCAGACAACCACTGGTCTGCTTTCTGATGCCATAGATTAGTGTGCATTTTCTACAATTTTATATAAATAGAATTATATAGTGTGTACTCTTTTTATCTGCCATCTTATACCTAGCATGATTATTCTGACATTCATCCATGTTATTGCACATATCAGTGGCTCATTCCTCTTTACTGCTGCATAGTATTCCAATTATCCCCATTTTATAAATTTTCTTATTTCTTACTGAAAATAAGCAACTCATCTCAGATTACACAGTAAAGGACTAAATTCAAATGTAAGTTGGCCCAACACAAAAGCCCCAGATTTTCCACTAAAAATTCTGCCTCTTTACATTTTTAAGAAATAACTCTACATACATCTGCAGAATGGGAGAGATAGCCCCCAGAGTGAGCAGAAGATACTAATCACACAAAAAATAGTTTTAGATGATTGGAGAGGACGTCAACCATCCTACCCAACCACCCCCACCATACCTGCTCTCAGCAGTACCACCTCAACCCGTGGGCTTCCTATTACTAAGTCATTCACCCCAAGAAGAACCCCAGGATCCTGGGGCTTCCAAGGTAAACAGAGATCACTGTATGCATGGCCTAAGCTCTAGCTAGAGTCCTGTCTTATAGGCCAAAAGGGAAGGGAGGGTGTGGGGCAGATGACGGGAGGTGGTCAGATTTACAGCAGGGCAGGGAAGCATCCAAGGAATTACGAAGACCTCGTTAAACTGGGTCACTTATGTGACTTCCCCTGTTAAACGGACTTTTAATTAGGGACAGAGAGGAGATAAAAACTAGGAAGTGGAAAAGAAAGGAAACATGGGCCACCCTTGCCAAACTCCCAGCTGCTCATTTGGTGATCTCAGGTATCCACAACTCTTGAAACATAGAAGCTTAACAGATTGCATTTTTTTTCCATAATCCTCAACAGACTTTTGATGAGGAATAAATGATAATAATAACAACAATAACAACTAGTATTTATTGAGTGCTTATTATGTGCCAGGAACTATACAAGAAAATTTCACTCCATTTCCATTTTACTAACAAGGAAACTAACTCTAAGAAAATATAAGTGTCTTGTCCAAGGTCACACAACCAGAGAGTGATTCAGTTATAGCCAGAATTCAAATATCTGAGTCTTAGTTCAGTGCTCTTCCCATGACTTACAAGGACTCCAGGCTGCCCTGCACCAAACCACCACCACACACCTCACCATCATTAGCCCCATCACAGGCTCACCCTAGAGCATATGTTGACTTAGGTCCTTCCCTTTCGGACTCCTGACACCTGATCTTACCCCATCAGAAGATGCCATTCTGTGTGCCCTTCCCTCAAAACACTGTTCAACATAAAGTCAACTTAAAAGATACACTGACAAACTAATTCTGCACCAAACTCTTAATGACTACAATGTCCTGCTCTTCTCAGGTACCAACTGAGGCTTAAGAAGACAGTGCCTAAAAAAGTGATGGAAATGGCGGCAAAACTGTGATGCAGATATTTTCCAAGTCTTGTCTTCACACATGTGAATGTCATAGATTTAGAGACTCTAATTCGAGGCAAAGCAAACTACTATTACTCTTTTGAAGGGGCCAACTTGGGCTGAAGTGGCCTTTTGCCTGAGAGAGGGAGAAGGGAAATAGTAATCATAATAGTTAAGTAATAATAATAATAATAGAAGCCAACACTTATCAATTGTTATATATTGGGTATTTCTACCAATATTATCTCAATTAATCCACCATTTCATGAAGAAGGTGCTGCTGTTAGTTTCATTTCTAGATGAGGAAATTGAAAGACAGGCTAAGTAATCTGGTCTTTCAAACTCCAGGACACCCAATCTTACCCAGTTATTGTTAATTATGCATCTATTATGTGCCTGGCACTGTGCGAGCCTTAAGCATATTCATCCAAGCTTCACAGCAACCCTCTGAGGTAGGTATTATTGTTATTACACCCATTTTACAGATGAGATCCAGACAGGAAAAAAAGGGAAACTGAGTAAGTGTAAACTGGAACCTACCACAGGCAGTCCGCCCTGAGAGCCTGCGCTCTGATCCGGCATGGCAGATTCCTATTCGAATCTAGGTCTTTCTCTTTCTAGTTAAAAAGTTTCCGATCCAGGAGCCACTTAAGCCAAGAGCGGACGCACTCCGCGGGGCAAGAGCGCCAGGCGTTACCCCTGCAGACCACCTGGGGGCGCCGTCCGGCCTGGGCTAGAGAGAACGACGGGGAAGCCGGGCTCCTCCCCACGCTGCGCGGGCTCCTCTCTAGGCCCGCCCCACCCCACAGCAGCCAATCAGAAACTTCGCTGACGGCGTGGTGCTCGCCGCAGAGGATGACTGGATAATTCTCTTAAAGGGCGTCTCGTTTCCAAATATGTAAAGTGACACACACGTGACGGGAAGTCTCCACAAGAGTCAACAGCGGGGAGAGATGACTCACTCATTTTTACCTGAAAATTTCTCTAGGTGAGGAGTCCCTGCCCGGCCCCCCTACAGCAAAGGAGGCGGCAGCCAATCCCGATAGTCCCCTGACGCGTTTATCGCTTCCACCAATCATCGCTCTCCCTTCCGAGACGGTGCCTTAGCATTTCAGCCTATCGGGAGCGCAGTTTGCCGCTTGCCGGTCACGTGCGCCAAGGCGAGGGGGTTCTTTGTGGCCAGAGCTCGAGCGGACGCTGAGCCTCGGCCCCGGCCCCGCCCCACTGCCGCCCTCGCGGGAATCTGCGAGAGGCGCGGGCCTCCTCGGCAGTCGCCCAGCTGTAATTGGCATGGGCTCGGGTCTGACCCAGACCTTTGGGTTCGATCCGCAGTCGGTCGTCCTGTTGCTTTGCACATGCAGGTTCCCCTCTTGCCCAATCGCGCTGGCCTCTACCTTTCAGGCTCCCAGACAGTGTCACACCTTTCCTTCCAGGACTGGTCCTCTCTGAGCACCTTCAGAACTTTGTAGTATCACATAGCAGCATTTACTGACTGCATTGTTTTACTTACCCGTACACTGGACTGAGGGTAGAGACGGTATGTTAAACATCTTTGCATTGGGCAAGTTGTTGCAACTCTGTGCAGCACTTTTCTCAACTGTAAAATGAGGATAATAGTACTTCCTGCATAAAATGGGTGCATTAAATTCTTACTTGCAAAGTGCTTAGAAGAGAGCCTTGCACAGAGCAAATGTTCAGAAAATGGTAGCCACTGTTAGTCCTGTGCCTGACACAGCGTGTAATAAGTACTCAGTAGTGTTCAGAATCAGTTTCACACATTCTTGGAGGTTTAAATGTCAGCTGTTTCAGAACTGCAAGAAGGGGATGGTAAAAACCTTTATATATATAAATAAAATACATATCTCTATATATTATGTTATAAAATATATATTTATATATATTTGACTAGGAATGTGCACAGGGTGCTTCAACATGTTGTCACAATTGAGAACAGCACTCTAGAGTCAGACCTGGGTTCAAGTTCTGACTGCACCTTGCTAGCTGGCTGACCATGGAAATGACCTTAAAAGTTCTTTAGTTCCTAAACCGTGAAATGGGGATGATAATGATAATACCTACTCCGTGGTGTTGTAGTGCATGCAAGTAATGCATGAGAAGTGCTTAGAACAATGTCTGTCCTATAATAAGCTCTCAATTTTTTCCTTCCTTCTTTATCCCAATTTCACTTTGGGAGCAAGAGTAAGAATGTTTCATATCCTCTACTTTACACTTGTTGCCCTCTTTAACTTTTGCAAAGCACATTCATATCTTATTTAAAGCTCACAGAAACCCTGTGAGGCTTAGAGCAATTGCTGGTTTGCTGGAATCCTAAGGCACCTTTTTAATTACAGTTTTTCATACCTGAATTCATTTAACCATTCCCCTGTCGTCATACCTCCTAATTTTTAAAGCCAAATTCTGTTGAGTCTCCCTCAAGGCCCAAGGCTTTGATTGCTCAGATTCTGAGCAGTCCCCGGGCCCAAAGACTCAAGTCACCAGGAAATGAAATCCTTATGCTCAGGAATTTCCACCTGGCTCCAAATTTCTCCCAAACCACAAGCCCCAGGCTCTGGCAAGCTGTGGGACTAGAGTCCTTCCTTCCTGTGAGGAAAGGGTTGGGAGAGGATGCCCACACAGGGCTGGAAAGGGTTGATGATGACTTTACCATCAGTGATATTGGAGTCAGAGGGGCTCTCTCAGACAGCCCCTCCCCAGAGCTGGGGGTTTCTCAGCACCTCTGCCCTTGTATCTACCCCATCCAGGTCACTCACTCACTTTGCCCCCTACGAACTTATTTAACTGTAACCTCTCTCCCCCAAAAAAAGATACACTGTCCTATGGTCAGATGCACCATTCCATTAAAGTGCACCATTCCAGATGCACTATTCCATTCAAGACTCCAAGAAATCCTAGCCCCGCTCTGTCTAGAGATCAGGCTCAGGTAGGAGACAGAAGGCGTGCAAGGAAGTCATGGGCACCCATCCTGACATAGGGGACCCTGAGACGTCTGGTTCTACAATGTAGCTCTGCAGCCAGGAAAGTTTCTTACCTTTCCTGAGCCTCAGTTTCTTCATTTGTCAAGTGGAACCAGGAAGGAGAGAGAGGATCCAGGATACAGAAATGGAAGAAGGGAGCATGCAAACATCATGTGCAAAGCAGTCAGGGAATGAGGAGAAGGAGAGGGGAGCCAAGGCCAGGCCCTGCATTCTACCTGGGGACCTCCTTGGGAGCTACTCCTGGAGCACAGCTCAGCACGGGAGCCCCCTTTCTCCCCATCTGTAAGAAGCAGAGAAACAAGATTGTGTCTCAGGACATCAACTCGACACTGTTGCTGGAGGCTGTCACCAAGTCTTAGCCCTTGTTAAGTGCTTTCTCCTCAGCCCCTCAAAGATCCTATACATCGACAGAACCAGTCTCACACAGGGCACAGGTTGTTATCTGCTTACCCTGCTATCCAGCCCTCTTTCTTCCTTAGTAACAGAACACTGGTTTTCAGCTGGGATCATTGCCGTTCAGAGTAAGACTACGTTTCCCAGACTCCTTTGCAGCTAGTTTTTTGGCCAATGAGATGTAAGAGACAGTTCAGTGTGGGGCTTCCTGGGAGGCACAGTGAAGGCAGCCCCAACCCCGTTTTACCTTCTTCCCCTCTCCTCTTCCTCAGTCCTGCTTCCTGGGAATGAGGTGACCTTCACTGAGGATGACAGTCACAAGCAAGGACAATAAGGCAGAAATATAAAAGAAGCCTGAATATTGATCACCATGGACCTTGAACTGCCTGCCTCCAGATTTCATTTTTTCTTTTTTTTAAGTATGCTTTTTTTTAAAGATTGGCACCTGAGCTAACATCTGTTGCCAATCTTCTTTTTTCTTTCTTCCTTCTTCTCTCCAAAGGCCCCCAGTACATAGTTGTATATTCTAGTTGTAGGTCCTTCTCTACTATGTGGGATGCCGCCCCTAGCATGGCCTGATGAGCAGTGCTAGGTGTGTACCCAGGTTCCGAACTGGCAAAACCGTGGGACACGGAAGCGGAGCACGTGAACTTAACCACTCAGCCACAGGGCGACCCCCTCCAAACTTCTTTGATATGAGAAAATAAAACCCTTATGTGTGTAAGCCACTGTGAATTTAGATTTCCTGTTACATGTAGCCTTGCCTAATTTTCAACTGACCAGTCTCTCTTCCCCAAGGTTTAGAAGTTGGTGGAAGGAGAGCTGCTTAAATCCCACTGATTTTTTTTTTTTTTTCCTTTAAGAGCCAAGCAGAGCAATTAAAGTCTGTTATTGGCTCAACTGCCTTAAGTTGAGAGAGATACATTTATAAATTAGAACATTCTTCTGACTGGGTCAGGTTGCCCGGTACAAAATGAACCCTGGATTCATGAAACATTTTGGGCCAAAACATACGACGTACTCTGTATCTAAACCACACATTGGCATGGCCTTGACATTCTGTTTTCACGTAGAATGAAAACATAATATTCTGCGGAGGAAGACCCTCAACACACAGGCAAACTCTTGTACATTTTTGTAGGTGGCTGTGTTCAATTCAAGCTCCAAAGTGAACTCTAAATAATAACTTCTTTTGAATGGAATCCAGCTACATTAGAGGTGTCTGAGGAATGTTCAAGCTTTCACAGTTGACTTCTGGCTCAAAGCCTTCTAAACTTCCAACCTCTGTTTCTCCTTAGGAGGGGATCCTGCTGGCCCCTCTCTAGCAAACTTTTTGCGATCCTGCCCTCCAGGAGACATTGTGGGAGGGAACCCTCGTCCAAGAGCAATGGTTCTCATATGCGAGAATGTCTGAGAATCACCTGGAGGGCTTGTTAAAACACAAATTGTTGGGCTCCAACCCCAGAGTTTCTGATTCAGTAGATCTGGGTTGGGGCCCAAATATTTGAAGCTTTAATAAATTCTCCAGAGACGCTGATGCTGCCAGTGGAGGGACCACATTTTGAGAACCACTGCCCTAGAGGAAGGTAAAGTTCTTCAGGCTACTTCTTTCAGACCTTCAGGGAATTTCCTCCAGTGCGTTCAGAGGTAGCTGGACCCTGGTGATGGCCTCTGCATAACTGTCCTGAGAATCAGCCTGCCAGGACCTCTGCCTGCTGCTCCAGCCCCAAGGCTCCCCTCAGGCCCCTCTGGGAGGGTTCCTTCTCACTGGGCCACTGAGCCAGGCACCTCCATGGTCTTTTTCTCCTCTGGGGTCCCTTCCAGAGAGAGGGATTGGGTCTGGAGAGAGGGAGAGGGTGGAATTAGATAACTTATTTTTCTTTAATGTCTAAATATGTCAAAACATGTATGTGTTGTTTTTATAATAAAATAGCAAAAGAAAAGTGTGAAGGAATACAGACTCTTTTGGAAACGTTGGTTAACAACTAACATTTATTGAACAGTTGCTGTGTTCCAGGCGTGGTACTAAAGTGCTCATCTGATTATTGTCACTGTATTTCAGCTCTAAAACAGGCTTAGAGAAGGTAAGTAACTTGCCCAATGTGACACAGCTAGTCAACGACAGAGCAGGCGTTCAGTTCCAGGTCTACCCAATTCCAAAGCCTAATCCTTTAATGCTTGGGCAACCCTGTGATTTGAAAATGCTGCTAATTTTCTACTGCCACTAGGACCTGCATCTCAGTGAAGGTGATACGGCCCTGAAGGGAGCAAAAACTGGTTCTTGGTGGGGGAGGGCAAAAAAATCTTTACTCTTTTTGTGTATAAAGCAAAGATATACATACAGTACATAATAGATATACAGTATATCTGTAGTATTGAATTTTATGAAGGGAGAGGAAAAAGTAGGAAAAAATATCTAAGTCTCCTTACAAGGGACAATAATGAAAACAGCGTTGAGAAACACTATGCTAGGACATTTTGGCAAAGAGCCTGTTCGCTGAAAAAGTCAATGCTGTCTTACACAACTTCCAAAGTTTTCTCATGGGTCAGAGGACAAACAAAACATCTGACATTTATTGCTTAAAGCTTTTAGTCATTATGCCATACGGTCCTCCCGAGAACCTCCTGATGAAGTCAGTAAGGAAGATATTTACTATCCACATCTAATAGATGAAGGAATTGAACTTTGAAGATAATGAGCATCCACCTAGATTTAATACCAAACAAAACTATCCTGCAAGAGTAAAGTGATATAAAGAAATTTGTAGAGAAAGCAGAGCAGAGCATATTATCAACAGACCCTCAGTAAGAAAACTCTCAAGTCCAAGATGCGAGAAGGAAAGAAAAAAGCAAGCAAAGTCGTTAACATGCGAATAAATCTATACAAGCACTGATTTATAAACAATAGTCATAATATCTAATTTGGAGGCTTCCAAAGATAAGACATTTGAAATGTTGAACAGCAATGGCAGGTAAGTCAGGAGGAATGGGTAGGGTTAAAGCATTCTCAAGTCCTTGAGTTGGTTTGGGAGAAGAATAAACATCCTAACTTGGGAATTTAAGTTAAATATGCATTTTAAATTTCCAGGTTAACAAATGAAAGAATAGACGTGGAGCGTCTGACTGCTCAGTCAGAAGAATGAAGAGCAAAAGGAGCAAATCCTATGCCGTCTCACCACAAATGTTACGAATCATTGAAAAAATACTGAATTGTCTTTAAATTTACTTAAAATCATCATCTTTGAATGTAGTCTTTTTTAATGTTGCTTAAAATCAGTTACATGAGTAAAGTTTTTCATACTAAAAATAAGAAAGTCTTTTTTTTCTTTATCTTTATGACTTGATAAATGCCTAGGACTTAAACAATGTTTCCTAAAGAGCAGTCTATGAAATTCTGGCTTCCCAAGATGCTGAGACCCAAAAGGAA